AGTGTCGTGCCACCGGGGGTTTGTAGTCGGAGTCTCTATCTCCTACCGGCGATTGGGCAAGCCCTAAGGGAGTCGCCGGGCTCCCTGTTCCCCTATAGGAGGAACTGTGCGCTCTTGGCACCGCAGAAACACCTTTTCAGGTATTCCCCCGGTGAGCCCTCTCACCACGACAAGGTGGCGCACAACGAGAGGGCGACTTCCAGTGCCTCCTGAATGAGCTCTAGAAGCGTCTCTAAAAAGGGGCCTCGCACAAGTATTGCCATGTCATCCGCGTAGCCTTGTGCAGTGAAGCCCGTATCGTCCAATACCTTTAATAATCCGTCTGCTATCAGACACCATAAAAGTGGGGAAAGTACTCCACCCTGCGGGCAGCTTCTTCCCACCCAACCACAAACTTTCGCAGTTCCTAGCGAAGTCATCACACGCCTTCCTAGCATGCCCCGGATCCACTCGACGAGCTTCATTGGGACACCTCTTCTGGCGGCTTCCTCACACACTACCTCGTGCGGTGTGTTGTTAAAGGCGCCCTCTATGTCCAAGAAAGCACCCACTGCGTAGCCCTTCCTTTCCAGCTGCTCCTCAATAAACGCTACCGTCTGGTGTAGAGCAGTCTCGGTGGAATAGCCCGGACGGTACGCGTGCTGACCTCTATGGAGAGGATGCCTCCACAGAGTAGTCTCCCTTAGATACGCGTCCATCAGCTTCTCCAATGTCTTAAAGAGAAACGATGTTAGGCTAATTGGCCTGAAATCCTTTGCCTTAGTGTAGCCTGTTCTTCTTGTCTTTGGGATGAATACTATCCTGGCCAGTTTCCATGCGCTAGGTGTGTAGCCCAGCGCGATGCATGCTCTTAAGGTTCAAGTCAGTGGGCCCACGATCTGTTCCAGTCCCTCTTGTAGAAGATCCGGAAAGACGCCATCCGGTCCCGTTAACTTGTAGGGCTTAAAGGTGTTAATTGCCCATTTGACCTTCTCGGGCATGACAATCTTGGCCGCCATTTGCCAATCCGCTTGTCGGGCTTTTCTGAGTGAGCCCGGCTCCTTATATGCAGATAGCTCTCCCGGCTCCCTATGGAAGCCCGGAAAACTCACTTCCAGTAGATGCTCCAGACATTGCTCTCCAGTCACCACCGTTCCATCAGGGTCGCATCCAAGTTCCTAGCGAGAATCCTGCAGATTCTTGTCGTTTCGGGCATTCCCTCCACTTCCTCGCAAAACTTCCTCCAGCTTTCTTGTTTCGCCCTAACTACAGAGTCTCTATACTCCTTCTGTGCCCTCTTAGAGAGCTCCCAGTCGGATTGACGGCCCGTGTTCCTAGCTCTATTCCAGGCCCTGCGAGCCGCCACTCTGAGACCCTGCAGTCCAGGGGTCCACCAGGAAGTTTCTCTACTATTTGTAGCCGCCCTTTTGGAGCAATTACTTTCGTAGCAGTTTACCAGAAACCTCTGCAAGTAGTCCACACAGGTTTCCAGTTCGTCTTCTGTCCCGTGCCTCTTAGGGAAGCCTCTGAGACTGCTGGCCAGGTCTTTCCTATAAGAGTCCCATTTGGTTCTCCTTTGGGTTCCTGAATTTGACCTCCTTCTTCCTAGCCTTAGCTATCCTGAAAGTGATCTGCCTGTGGTCTGAGAGCGAGGGCTCCGTCGAGACCCTCCACTCCACTATTTTCTGTAACAACTGCCTGGAACAGACAGTGATGTCGAGCACTTCTCTTTTCGCTATAGTGCAGAAGGTGGGTTTGTTTCCTGTGTTGAAAATCTCCAGATCCTTGGATGCTAGGAACTCCAACATTTTCATTCCTTTTTCATTGGTGTCCGAGCTTCCCCACACAATGTGATGCGCGTTAGCGTCACATCCCATGATCAGGGGAAGCCGTTTCTCTTGGCAGTATTCTGCCAGTTTTATCACCGGTGCAGGCGGCACTGCCTCCCCCTCGTCATGAGAAAAGTAGGCCGAGCAAACAACTATTTTTTTTACCGGAGTCAGCAGTGAAGTCCACTTCTACAGCCGCAACGTCCCTGGAACACAGGTGAGGTATTAGCTGGGCTTCTATACCTTTGACGGCCACGCAGGCCCTGGGCCGATCCACTGATGGGGCCCTAAAGAGCCTGCCGCAGGCCGCCAAGTTCCTAATGCCACCCCGGATTACCCAAGGTTCTTGCATCAGTGATATGCATGTTTGCTTCCCAGCTTGTTGCCTGGCCAAAACAGC